AAAATCAAAAAGAAAGCTTATCCTCAGCTGCACTGCTGAAGTCAGTGAGAACTTCTGTTGCATTATGCAGCACACTGTGAAATAGGAAATCTTCTATGCCAGCGATGCTGATCTCAGTTCTCCACAACAGTGAGTCTCATGCTGGTGCCACTAGTGAGATTACCTGTAGGTGATATAGCTGGGAAAGATTATTCCTGCTCATTTTTTGAGCAGCCCTTCAGTAGTTTAGCATTGTTTTAGCAAGCTAAGAAACACAGCATGGGCAGCATCTCTGGGCTCAGCCCTCCTGGTCATCCACCAGCATGGTGCTCCCACAGCCAGAGGCTTGGAGTGCAGGTGGCCAGGCTTGGTGTAGGATCCCAGAAAGCATCAAGCTGCTTCAGGAAAGCTCTGCCTCATTTCTGCCCCACAGCCCTCCCCCATCTCTTCTGCTTTGAGAGGACAATGGGGTTGTACTCTACTCTAAGTCTATATATGCATATATATCACATATGCCTATATATAATTATATATAAGTACAAAAGTTCGCTGCTTTGTTGCTTTCCCCAGTAACATGATTACATTTAGTTAAAAAAGAGAGAGGTGATTTTATTATCCTCATAAAGATTGATTAGTGCACTCAGAATTTTATCCCTAATTTAGTTTTAAATCTGCACTCCCATTTTCCATAATTTCCAAATTCCATAATTTCTGTTTTGTTTTTTTTTTTAAATAAAAAACCCACATGGGACAAGCACTTGAATTGTAGGAGCAAGTCTTGATTAAAACACACCCCTTTCATTCTGACATTCTGAATCAACAGCAGGTCAATGTGAAGTGAAAATTTCATGGAGAAATGCTCATCCTTGGGATGCACAGATTGGAGGTTTAACACTTTTGTGATGGTGGAGAGAAATACAGATGAGGGAAAGAGCTGTATTCCCTTGAATGCATTTATGCAAACAAAAATCGCCACACTTGGATATCCTGCACTGGATCTCAAGCACTGAAGGGGCTGCATGTCGGCATCACATGAAGCAACCTCCATCCATTACTGCTCAAAGCCAAATTTACTCACAGTGAGGGGAAAGGAAAGGAACCAGATTCTTAAAAGCAGTGTAGACATCTTTTGGGATTTTCCTTCTTTTTTTTTTTTCTCTTTCTTTTTTTTTCTTTTAACCATAGGTTTGTGTGATCCAGACATCAGATTATGAAGAAAATCTTGGCATATAGTGAGAGCTGAGCACCTTCCTGCCCCAGTAAGAGCTCGGTGCTTACCTCTGCTGTTAGGAAATCACAGAAAATCAGTCTGGACAGGAGGCTGCCAGGCCACCTGCACTGTCCCTCTGCCTACACCATATCCGCACTATCTGTACCTATCTGTGTTTCAGACAGTCTCATACAGCACCCCACTTATTCGTCTTACCACAGTGCTCTCTTTTCTGAAGCACTGTGTCACACTAAGCAATGATAATGCTCATGCCATTTGATTTTACTGGATAGAGCAACCATCCTGAGAGGAACATAGTGAGTGTATGGGAACTACTAATCACATCTGAACCTCTGATCACCTGAGGAGAGCCCTGAGTCAGCCATGGGAGCACAGGTGAAGGCAATTCACCTGTGCTGCCAGAAGGGGTGGAGCCTGGCTGCACCTCTCCTAGAGCCATTTAAGGGCTGACTACCAGTGGGGAAGGATCTCTTCAGGAGATCCCTCTTCTGGAGTTTTGTAGTGAGCCCAGGATGTGGGTAAGCATTCTATCCATTCTCTTTTTGTTGTTATAATCTGCTTTGCAAAACTCTCTTGTTTATCTCATTATTATAGCATCTTAATATTCATTGATTATACAGTGATCTGTTCCAGAAACTGAGAAATACTTTTTTACTCTTAATGACACACTGAGCACTTACAGGGTGCTTCAACACGAGTTTGTAAATTGTCTGGGAGTACCTGCAAAATACTGCACTGCACAGAAGGACTTGCAGCTTGTGATAATGATACTTTGGAATAAAACCCTTAGAGGTGCTGTAATTAGCACAGGCACCAAAACCAGGAGTTGTTCAGAGGGCCATAACTCTGGCACTTTCCTGAGTCTTAGGGCTGCCTGGGGTGTGAATTTCACTGGGTAGTTGCATGTAGAGCTGATTGTGTGCTTTCTCCTGAGGTGATGCATTCCTTTAACTGGAGGTCTGACATTCTCTCATTGCTGCCTAATGACATTTCCTTTTTAGGACACATGCTTTTCTCATGCCAAGTCCCTCTGAAAAGGGTGTTCCTGCAGCAAGCACGACAGCAAAGGCCCAGCTGCCTTAGGAAAGCATAATTCTGCTTGCTGTTACCATTAGCTGAAGTCTCCCACTTCCTCTGTGTAGCTAAGACTAAATGTCCAAGAAAAATGGCCACAAGCTGTGATGCTTATGCTGCACAGACTCACTGACCTGGGATCACGCTGCTTCAATGCAAATGAGTTTGAGGTTATAAACGCTTCTATTTCTGAGCAGTAATTGAATAACTATGCATATGTAGCTTCAAGAGGACACATTTGACTTTTAAAATTCAAAGCACTGGAAATGCAGAGTCTTCCATGCTGTTAGCATTTATGATTTGCATCTTTGAAAAATGGCTCCAATTTGGTATGTTAAGGCTGGCAAAGGATGGAGGAGGATTTGGGAAAGAGGATGAAATTCACCTGCTTGTTATGGGTAGTGTCAACCCAAGACAGAGTTATGTTGCTAAGTTATAAATACACCAGCACTTAGCATTGGAAATGCTTTCAGACTCATACACAGAAAATTGTCCTGCCTTTGTTGCTCTTTTATTTCAGCTAAAACACATTTGTTAAGCAAATCAAAGTAGAAAAAAAAGCAGCAGGGCACACTTTAGGCATCCCATTTCCTTCGTGCTGATTCTGAACCTAATAAATAACAAGCATCATCTTTCTGATAGACTCAGTTGTTCAAACAGAGAAACTGCACAAACCTTTCTTCCAGAACAAATGTTCATTCAACTGAGTTTTCACGTGTTGGGTGCAGTGTCAGAGAGAAAACAGACACAGCAGTGTTGCCCAGTGTAAAGCTGTTTTCCTCTGAAAATATACCTCAAATCCACTGGTCCAAGCACTGCTCCCTTCCAAATTTCTGCCACATTAATACTTATTCATTTCTGCTGTTCTGGTGAAGGTATTAGTGACAGGACTCCCTACTGCCAAGACACTGTAATTATTCAGGCCATACCAGAGCTCCCAATATTACTGTCATTAGTGTATGGTGCTTTTTGTAAAACAAGAAGTGAAATTCACCTTACATGTGCAGTGATGACATCTCAGGCTATTTCTGAGATGAAGAAAGATAGCATTTTCAGTGGGAAAAAAGTTTGGATTTGAAATTAATCCCAGGGTGATTCCAACAAGAAACTCAGTGCGTGTGGAATACTGACTCTTCAGTGGCTGCAAGCAGCTGTCACTCTGCTGAAACAAGCACTGCTACAAAGACCCACATAACCATGCAGTGTGTCCACCCCCTGAGACTAAAAAGTAAATCTTAAAACCTCAGATCCTAAATTTAGCATTTCAGAGCATTCTACTGAATAGAGCAAGAAAAAATGACTAGTAAATGGGGAAAAAAAAAAACAAAAAAAAAAACAACCCAACCAGTATAATAGGAAAGCATTTCAATTTTGTACATACACAGCTTTTACTTTTGTGTACATGATCATTATTAAGCTCTCTACGTTATGTACATTTCTTTCACAATCAGCTCATCTGTGCATTCAGACACTAACATTGCCTTCTGGAGCTCTCCTGGGAAACATGGTGTGCCTCAAACCATTCAGAAACACAGCATCTACAGCAGAGCCACTTTGTGATTACATTTTTCTCTTTCTAATGTTCACTGGTAGAAACAGCAATATGTGGAATACTGATTAAAAAAATAATTGCCTTTATGTTCTTTAAGTCTGAAGAATAAGCGTAGCTTGAATGAATACACAGGGCTCTATTTTCTTGCAGCTGTTCCATTAGATCAACCTTGTGATGAACTGCACATACTGCTTGTTCCCAAGATCTTGTTTTGTGGCTGCAGCATCGAGGAGGAAGCTCTGTTTTCCCTCCTGTGTGTGGGGACATGGTTCCAGTTCATAGGCTCTGTGCAGCTCAAGTAGATGGACACATTCAGCAGGTCTCCACTTAAAATTTGCAGATGAATACTGAAAGGTCTAGATGTGCCAGTAAGGGAAAGTCTGAGCCTTTAAAACTACAAATGAATTTACTTTGAGCTCAGCCACTTCATTGCAACTTTTCTCCCTTAACTATATCTGACAAGATATGGAATTAAGGCTATTCTAACCTATTTTAATATTTGATATTTTAAGTACCTTAAGCAATGCTAAGCAGAAAGAACATTATGGATTGAATCACAGCAAGAATGTGAAGGAAAAAAAATCTTACATCAATGAAGGAAATCCTACATGAATACAACTGTAGTTTAAGAGATGGCACGCTGTCTTGTTCTGTTCACCTGCCATATAGGGCAGCACTTTTGCAGCACCTACCTCAGAGTTGGCATTCAGACACTTGAAATGCACAAGTGCCTCCTGCATGACTGCATACATCTTCCAGAGTGGGCTGGGCTGGAAGCATCAGACATGAATGATTAGCAGAGAAAACAAAGGAGTACCAGTAACTTCCCAACTTCCTTCAAACTAAAGATTATGATGAGTACCATGTTAGCCTTTGGAATAAATATCTCATGCACATCTAAACAAAAGGCAAAGGAGTTGGAGATCTTCAGGAGAGTTTGCCAAAGATGCAAAAAGGAATGTTATTGTATTCATTAAACACTGTATGGATAAAATGCTGGAGGAGTCACAGCCTTGCTAAACTTCCTTGGCGCTGTCCTTGCTGCTTGCAAATTCTTTTTGTTAAGCTTTCTGAAGGAAATTCACCTACTGTCTTCCTTTTGTGATTTGCAAAATTTTTTAGAGACAGTACAATAACTTCTAACTCCAAATCAACACTCCCTCACCTGATTTCTGCCTCAGTGATCACACAGACTCTAACAATGCTTTGAATGTGTGATAAAAGGTGCTCATTACTTCCCAAACTGCACATTCACCTTGTTTTCCTGGTGACAAACTCACACATGAAATTGTCATTTTCAATGGTAAAGGAGTCAGAACAGCAAACAAATTGTAAAAACAGTTCTGTGTGCTATGACATTAGTTCCTTATTTCTTACAAGGGATCCTTTACTGCTATGATCATAAATTTGTTAGAGGCAACCAAACTCATTTAGCATTCCTCTCTGCGTGGCTACTAAAGAAAATTTTGAAATAAATTTCCCAGTTTATTCAGAATGAAAGAATCATGCCTTAATGATGAGTTCTGGGTTGAGTAATTGGGTGACAATTTTTCCTATAGACGCTTTTGAACTACCTGTATTGCTGAAAAGAAATTATTTTCAGATTCCTTCAGGACTTGTGAGAGATTTGGCTGTTTTTTGAGGGTATCTGAGATCTCAATATACAATTACAGTTTTATCATCATTTGTTTTATGCACCTGCTAATGGGATGATGATACGTTGGGGTATTTGTTGGAGATCATGAAGATGTGAGGACTTTGGAAAGAGTTTTTCTGTTCCTCTGCTTGATTTGTGTGGCAGTGTGCAAAATCTCTTCAGAAGTCACCAGGTTCCTTAAATGGGGAAAAGTAAAGGACCTCAAGACAGTTACATCATGCAAAAGTTGATAGTTCAAAATCTGCTATTAAAGAAAAGTACTGACAGCAAAAAGTGTGGAATGTTTCCAGTTGCCAGGTACCAGTTCCCTCTTTCCTATTTGCTGTGCACTCCTGGCACTGCTGCTGCTGGATCATCACTTGATGTGGGAGGTGTAGGAAGGACATGGCCTGGCAGGCACATCCATGCTCAGAAGCATAAACTGCTATTCCTACCTCTGTGCCAGATTCCCTGCACTGCTTCTGTCAGAGGCTGATGTGGTTTGAATGCCATGTGTCCAGTCACCCAGTCTTGCTCTCTTCCACTTGGATTCCCCACTCTTTTACTCTCTTTGTTCACAAGCAGGACATGAAATGGTGTGTCTGCAGTGGCTGCTGCCCAGCTAGGCTGATGTCTCCCCAGACTTCAATGCAACAAGTTCAGAGTCGTCTACATATCTTCCATTGAGCTGCTCATTGTTGGAGTCATGATGGTACAGGTAGACAGGGACCTCTGTGATGGACGTTGCTGTATAGGAGGTTGATCTGGTGGAGCAGTGCTCTCGACGCCTTTGGCCCCACTGGGTTTTGTACTGTGTCCACTGCCTCTTCAAAGCCCCTTGTACCTGTTAAGGTATGTTAAGTTAGGGTAATGCATGATCAGAACTAGTGAAATTTTAGCACTTTTAAAACTTGCTGCAGAAAATAGGAAAAAAAAAAAAAAGACAACAATAAGGAAATAGGCAGACTGAGCCTCACGGAATTTGACTGGAGCTCTCTTCTGCCCTCTCTTCCCAGCTGCAGAAGCACTTGCTCATGCCCTGTCCTGAGATCCCTTCCTGCCTACCCTACAGCAGCAATTGTTTTTTCAGTGGTCACTGCTTGTGAAGAGAGGGAGGGGGTGGTTTTCGCATAGGAGGTCAGTGTGGAGAAGAGTGCTGCATGGGAACACAGCAGTGCAGCGCAGTGGGAGAAGAGGGAAGAGAAGGTAGGGATGAAGATCAAAAGACATCTCATGCTGCACCTGAATCCTTGCACCTGGAATGGCAAATGCACTATGATTTTGAAGAAACTTAGCCTTGAATAAAACTGGCAAAGTATACAAGAGCTTGCCAAGGCTCATCTTATAGACATAGCCAGTTCATTAATGCAGATAAACAGAAATATTTTTCTGGTAGTTCAAGAGGAGGTTCTGCACTGGCAAAAAAGCTAGCATTGGTCACAGACCTCCGTGTAGCAGAGAATTTCAGCTTTTGGATATTCATCCTCTAGGAGCAAAACATTATACTCTGCATTTATTTTAAGGGTGATGTTCTACTCTGTGCCAGGATGTGACTGAAGCTGCTGAGGCCTGCCAGGGAATAAGAAGCCCATCTCCAGCTGCATGTTTGGGAGTGCTGGCGTCCTCCAGTTCCTCCCAAAGGCTGTGCTGAGATGCAAGCAGGCATTGGGCAAAGCTGGGCTTCGTCCATTCAGTTCAGCTGTCCTATTCCTACAGTGTGAGGGCAGGAACTGAGTGCCACCACAGTGTGCTGCGACTCAGTCCTCCAGCAGCGGGAGAGACATGCAGATCCCAGGGCTCAAATGCTCGTGCTGCAGCAGAGCTGTGTGTGATTCTTGCTCAGTGAGCTGCTCTGGGGCCACTCTCCAGGCTCTGTGCAGAGCAGTACCTTCCACTGATGTAAATGGGTCTCAATGCCTTTAGTATTTCCTGTGACTCCACAATCCTAAACACTCCATTGATAAGTATATAGTAAAATTCGATTGACTCCCCACCCGTTGCAAGAAAGCTGTTCCCTGTCACATAAGGACAAGACTTCATAAGGAATTGCTGTGAACCTGAGATGCTCACTGGCTGTGCAGCAGGACTACACAATGTGCCAAAAATGGATTTTTCAATTGCTTTGGATTTTTATTTTTAAGCCAAGGAGCGAGCCATGGGATGAAGACTGATGCTATAAATCCTTACTCATGCAAGTAGTTGCACTGACCCGGGTATGACTCCTTGCTTGAGTAAACAAACGTTTGCTGGACTGGTAAATTAAAAATAACTGAAAGCTATCTATCTCCATGCTCAGTTTCCAATACTACCTCCATTTTGCTATCACATAGCTAAAGGCAAAGTGGTTAAGAGTTCTTATCCTCTAGAGAAATAAATTTCTGTTTACCTTCTAACACACAAATAAAACTAACGGTCAATGTAGATTAATTAGCTATCGAGCACAGAAAAATATAGGGTCACAATGGGACTGTAATTACCAGGGCTGTGGACAGAGCTTATATACCAAGATTTGAAGTGAAATGGCTGCATGCATGGATGTGTGGTATCATATCACCACCAAAGTTTATAAGTGAAAAATACCTAACTGCGTGGAAGAGTACTGCAGCTGTATCACATAATAAGGAAGTGCACAAAGTGAAACCTGTACAGGTTTTAGTCTCTTTAATACTGCCTTTTTAACATTACAGCGCTCCAGATGAATGCTGTAGTCTGGTTACCCTAGAAGCTACATGAAGCACAACAGTTAACCATGGTTACATGAAGCAGGAAGAACAAAGTCTGCCAGGAGACCCTTACAGTTTTGTTCTCAGAAGGCAATGGTGCTGCGGTATGTATGGACTAGGAGGGAGCAGACACATCCCTTCAATAGGAGTGACACTGGTCAAGGCTTACAGGCCCCGTGGAGCAGTGAGAGCACCAGGTAGGAGCAGCTGCTTTCGTACCAAGTGCTGGCACCTACGAGAGTCTGGCCACCCTTGGCTAGTGGGCTACATGAGGTGCTGCACTTGGGGAAAGCAATGAATAAACCTAGATTTCTGCCCTGATTCCAAGGATCTCAGGTGATCGCTGCTCAGTGCCAACTAAAACTGTTCAGGCACAGATTTCAATGTGCAAGCAGCCTTACTGAAAATCACACGCCCAGCCATACTGTGCTAACAACCACAGAGGCTCCTGCCATGTTTTCCTCTGTGACTGCAGATGGAGGAAAGAGAAACCCAGAGAAATGAGGAGCCTGAATTGGCTTTCTCTGCTTTTGAAGACTTTAAAGGTTTTCCTGTTCTCCATTATCCATTCATGCCTCTTTGGCACATGAGGTATGTGGCTGTTATTTGGTGGTGTTTTTTTTCCAAAGAGACTTTCCATTGTGTTGGCCAGTCTTGCAGTCCAGAGGTAATCTCAGGCCTGGAAATGTGGTCTGGTGAGCAGACTACTGAAGAGTCCTCGTATCATCTGCACAACACTGTTGTTACTGGACAGAGAAACTACAGAGCTGCTGAACACTAAGATTTTGCACAAAAATACATGAGAAGATTAATCATTTAAAAAGTCCTGGAAAAGTCCATTGTTTATGTGTTCTTCCACATGAATGAGGGCACTGATGACATTTTAGCAATTTTCCATTTCTTTCTATAGATAGGCTTATGGCAATAAAGTGAGGCTGTGAGGTAGCATGCAAACAAATTCAACATAAAATACTGTCAGGTGGTACCAAGTTTAGCACTGTTTGTCCTGGCTAAGCTTCATGCATTTTAGCCTTGAAGTTAAATATTCCAGTAGAAAAAAATAAATTCCTGAGTATCTAGTTTTCTTACTAAAATTAATCTGCCTGCCCTGTGCTGAATTTTCTCATGACAAACCACTTTGAATTCTACTCTACGGCATCTATACTCTATGGATGTATACAGTGGCCTGGAAACAATCTCCTGCCATGACTGAAAACCAGATTGTGGCTTTGGTCTGTATCATACTGCACACAATGAGACTGGAGGGGATTATCTTAGCTTAGTTCTCTTATGCAGCTGAACTCAGAGCTCTTCTCCCTTTGTCAGTGCATAATGCCATCTTGGTGTTAGCCTGTTTAGGGCAATAGGTTTGATTTAGGTTAGGTTTAGGCCCTAAGTAGCAACAGAGTAAGCTTATGTTTGAAATTAGGAAAAATTTCTTCTCAGAAAGAGTGGTGAGGTATTGGAACGCGCTGCCCAGGCAGGAAGTGAAGGTTTTCAAGAAGCACGTAGGTGTGGCACTGAAGGACTTAGTGGGCATGGTGGTGATGGGCTGATGGACTAAATGATCTTAGTGGTCTTTTCCAACCTTCATCATTCTATGGTTCTATGATTCTGCTGCTACTCTGCGTGTTCTGCATATTCCATTACGCTGTGTGACAGACGGCAGCAGAGGGGCATTCTTACTAAATGGTGCCTGACATGGATGTGTGCATGAAGCAAAGGTGCGGAACTGTATTCCTCCATGCAGAAAAAATGGCACCCACTGACACTTATTGCTGCTTACTGAATGTCTGTGGAGACCAAACAGTAGATGTGAGCACAGTGAGGTGGTGGGTGGTGCTTTTCAGCAGTGGCAATGGGCTGCCAGCTGTGCTGAAAAGGCTTCTGGATGTGACTGAGGGTCTGTATGCTTTCAGTGCTATTTATTGTTGCTTTTCTTCATTTTAGCACTGCTACAACCTTTAATCTAGGCACAAATGTTCTCATTAGATTTGGAGAACTACAGAGTAATTGGCCTTTTGCCCTAAAGCTATAAAATATAAAGCAAATATGTTTTGCAAAATCTAATCAGAAAAACTTGAAGGTGACCCTGGGGGGAAGGAAGGACGAAGAAAGCAATCCTGAAGGCAAGGATTTGTGTGTAATACATTGTCTGGAGGCAAGTGAGGACATACTGGCACACTGCCTGTACAAAGCTGTGCAATCAGTCCTATAGGGATATGCTGTTTCAAGAATTGCCTGGCTTGTCTCTTCATTTTTCATGCCATGTTCTCCCTACCAGAAGGAACCAGAAGTCCTGCTGCATGTGCAGAGCATGGGGACCGAACTGTGCCAGAAGGTGATAACAGTAGAGAAGAAATACGGTGGTAGCCTGCAGGTTCTGGGGGTGGACATGATACGAGAAAAGAATAGCACGTCTGCCAACTTTGCTTAAATGGTCTAAACTCTGAAATGAGAGTGTGACTTTCTGTAATATGATCTTTATGACTATTATTTCATTTTAAGTTCTGGTGTCCTTACCTACTTATGTTCTGCCATTTCCTTCTTATGTCTCCCATAAGCTGTGGGAGGCCTCTTTTACTGTTGCATTTCAGTGTACCTTTACAGGGTGAGTCAGCCAGAAGCAAGTGTACAGTGATGTCAACAAGAGATGGTAGAATTTAATACACTCTGCCATTCTGAAAGCCAGAAAACCGGCCAGTAGCACCTTATCAGTTGGAAAACTTGCTTCAAGTCACCATCAAAAATACAGCATGATCACATCATTACTACTTGAGAATAACATACAGGAATAAACAAAAGTAAGAATATCCCTGTAGGATGACATACGGAGTGTTAGCATTGCAAATTTTGTTCTGTATCTAATCTATCTGCTCTGAATTCAAAGCAAACGTTTTAAAGGGATTTCCAGCTTTTCTGAGATAATGCTGTGGTTTATTTCTCTACAGTTAAATGGTTCCAGTGTATCACAACAGCTTACCATCTTTGGGAAATGGCTTACTGGAGGAATTTAGATGGCTCTTGACATGTTACAAACAGCTATTTTTATAAAAACAACTTAGTGAAGTGGACCTAGATACACTTGTAAGTATAAACATTTGATCAAGCTATAAGAGAAGGGGAGACATCCTTAACTCCTTAACTCAAGCCTTAATTACAGCTTGATAATTACTGACCTTAAAAAGGCCAGCACTAATCTTCAAAGTAGGGAAAGTAGTTGCAGCCCTACAGGTCCCTCTGCTCTGACAATGCTACCATGTGTAGTAGCTCTGTCAACTGTTTGAGTCTTTTACTAGTGCTTTAATCCTTTACTTTGACCTCTAATTTGTGTGGTATTGTGGGTGAAAGGGGGAGAGACACGTCTGTGCTGCACTTGGTACTGCTGACTTTCCTGACTTAATGGGGTATTCACATAGAAATTTCAGAAATGCACAGAGCTGCTTGTATACAGATCTTGAAAAATATCTTTCTCTGCCTTTGAATTTTGTAATTCGAGATGCTTCATTTTTGTACCAATCAACACCTAACTATTTTTGAACTTTCTTTTCTCTTGTTGTGTTGTAGATACATACCTCACCATTGAAGAAGCAGAATATAGTCGCCACAAGCAAGCCCTAAAAGGAAGAAAATGAAAAGCATTTAAGGATCAAAATATATACATAGATATTTGTTTGCATTGTTTGGAAAACGAGGCTTGAGGCATGCAAGATAAACTTTGATCCAATTCCTTTCCATCACAGACATTTCACCTAACATCTCCCTAATTCTCAGTTATATTTTTACACCAGTTTTTGTCTTTTCAATATATTTTCTAGATCATTTCTAGATTATCTGTTCTGCCTATAAGGTTATTTTTGTTTGAGAGGGCAGGAGAAGGATAACTAAGTGATATTGGCTTTATGAAGTGAAGGCAGAGGAACTGCCCCACGTGCTGCTGTGCGTTTGTCAGAGTGAAGTTACCCTGTTAAGAACTGTCACACAAGAGAAGCCCGGCTGTGCCAGAAAGGCTTTCAATTGAAGTGTATGATGGAATAAGTGGACCTGTATGTGAGGCATCAGTATGGATGGGAAAGTGTGAAAACAGATATTATAGGTCAGAAAAAGGGAAAATAAACCAACACAAAACACAGGTGAATTAGAAGGTAAGGAAGAGACTGAAGATCATAGCTTGGTCCTAAACCTCTTGAAATTAATTTCATTACTGCCACGTTTGTTCAGATATTTCCTTACCTCTACAGGATTAAACAGGGTCAAGCCAAGAACACGAGGTGAGGAAGTGTGAAACAGGTAAGAGAGAAAATTCTTGTGCATAGAGCCTGCTGTTCAAAACCACATAATTACACTGCTCTGTGTTCTAAAGAGCACTAACTCTTATTAAAATATCATTACATAACAACGCCGGGAGCCAAATGCCCTCATTTTAGATTACTTAAAGCTGTTATTAGAAACCAAATTTATGGCAGTTTGTGAAATTGAGGGAAAAACTGCACTGCAATACTCTGTGTTCCCAGGGGCTGCTCAGAGGTACTTTACAGCTGCATCTTCTTTATAAGCTCTCATTTTACTGATTACCAGTTAAATTATAACTGATGCTTTGTAAAACATCTTGGACCCTCAAATGCATGTTTTAGACTACAAAGACAAGGTAAAATGTTGTAGAAGAATGCTGTATCAGGGACACGCACAAGCTGATTTGAAGAGGTGCTATCATGCTATCACCTGAATTTTAGCAATGATTTTGCTCCAATAAAATTTCTTTAGTTGCAATATGTAGTTGCAAATAACTTCAAATGTGAAGACAGAGGAGGTGGAAGGCAATTAGAGTGAGCAAAATAAATCTTTTTATGTTTTGGGAAAACAGTACCCTCCGAAAACTCCAACTGCAGAACACAGTATGTAATGCATAATAGTTCTCCCCCATGCTCTGGTTTGGGAAACACCATGAAGTCAACCAAAAACTAATGCCTTAACAGCAGACCTTTGGCAGATCACAGATGCCTAAATCTGAAATTTATGCAAACGTTACACTTCCCTGTGGCCTATAATTATTATTCCTCTGCATTGTGCATGCTATGTCAATTTGTGCTGTCTTGAAAAACATCTGCTGTGGTACTGTATGGTATATGGTCACATTAAGGGTTTCGCTGTTTTGCTGGAATGTGTTTATATTAACAGTAGTCAGCCACAATGGGAACTGAGAAGGATTTTGATCTCCTCTGGGATTAGAGAAGTTCAGTGGGACACAGAAGATAAGACTCCAGGAGGAGAGAAAGAAGTCTGTTCTTCTCTAGGAGCATTTTAGGGGAAATCGGGAACTGCAGTTCACCTTAAGGCAGAAATTGAACTTGAACTATTGATGTCATTTTCCATTTTATTTCATAGAATCATAGAATGGTTGGGTTGGAAGGGACCTTTAAGATCACCTAGTTCCAGCCCCCTGCTATAGGCAGGGACACCTCCCACTAGACCAGATTGCTTACAGTCCCATCCAGCCTGACCTTGAATGCTTCCAAATAAATATCCTGTACAGTGTTCAAATTCTTGTTAAATCCTACAGTTTATCTATTATCTATTTATGTTCCCTTCACTATTGCCTTCTCTAGACTTTCTGTTAGAAAAGCTAAAGAGGAAGCATTATATCTCCAGCTGCTCTTCTTGACTGGAATAAGCTGAGAACAGATGTGACTGTTCACCTTTTTGAAATCATGGAAGTTGTACATCTCTGCTGACTGAAGAAATTATTTCCTTTGCCCCATCTATGTCTCATTGTTCTTCTTTCAACAGCAATAGCCCTCTGGGCTCTGCCATCCAAAGCTGCTCCTGAATCTTCTTGAAAATAAGTCAGAAACCTCTGTAACAACCACACACAAATGTGGAGGTTCCCAGCAGACTTTTGGCACTGAGGAGCAAAGGCTCCTATGAACTCATCCAAATTAGGGACATTTACCTATCACCTTACTCATTTCTTGCCTATCTATAATATTTCTGCTGCTCCACTGGCTTTCTCTCTTTTCTGAGTTTCTTAAGTGGATCTGAATTGTCCTTGTACTCCTGAATCTATCACAGGAAGAAGGAAAGAAAGTTCAACAGAACAAAATTCTTTCTACAGATGATGAATAGGACGATGTTCACCCACAGTTTGGGAGTGAAGCTCACATTTCAACAGCAGTTTTTCCAAAATTTATACATACATATATATTTATATATATGTATTCACTTTTTTCCTTTTAGAAGTTAACCCACTATGCAAAAAAAACATCAGAAAACACTACAAAGAACCCAGTAACCAACTGTGTTCACTAAGAGGCTCAAAAGATAAAAGTGGAAATACGCAGATGGAAGATCTCCATAATGACATGTTGCAAGTCTCATGAGCCCCCTTACAGCTGTAAGGAAACCAGGATGAACACACATATGGAGCTGGGTCTAACACTGAGCCAGGGGCCCTTGGGCTCATCTACAAGTAGGAATGAATGCTCATTTTTCATCTTTTTAAATGCTATATAAGCACTTCTCGCTCTTCCCTGTGCTGAAGAAATATGAGGACATATGTTGAAAAGACAAGCGGACAGAATAAAATTTATTGTGCTGCCCTAGATAATTGCTTTCACTGACATTTGCATGAATTTGGGCAATTTATATTTGAAATTAAACCACTCTGTTTAGCAATAGCATCTGTGAGATGCCATCTGGAATAAAAGTGGAGGTTAATTTTCTGTTAGGGTCCCCACATCATACGCTCAAAGGTTTCCCGTTTACCCACACAGTAAAAATCGCAACCCAAATAAATACTGAGAGGAATAGAAACAGACTGTTTGCCATGCAGGGGAGTAAGGTAACATTTCTTGAAGCTTGATGAGGTCTCCTGACAGATGGGAGTCTAATGAGTCTGAAGGAGAACAATAGATAACTGGTAAGACATCTGCCCACTTACAGATAGCAAACTATGAGATGTGTCATCCTTCTGTGCAAACACAGAAATGATGTTCATACACAACTGGTGAAAAATATTAGGATAAGATCAAGAGAAAACATGCAGCAAAGATCTGGAAGATTAAATGCACAAGTAAACTGCCTGTTGCTTTTAGTTAGAGCAAATACTAAACTGGTTCTGTGCCTTTATTGAATTTTAAGCCATGTCTCATGGCAGTAAAATACTTATCCTCACTAAAATTGCTGTCTCACCTGGTTTTGTGAAATACAAATATCAGAGCTATAACACGTACCTCTGGCACTAACAGAATTTTTATGCCTGCTCATCTCTATCAGGCCTTTTTATAACATCCAACATATTTTCAACCATGGTCCACTACATGAACAATTACTTGTAGTTCTATTACTTCTGTTTCTGCTTCTTTTGATTTTTATGTCATTTTTTTTCATAGTTCAGTGTACTGTGAATCTCTTCAGCTGTAAAGCTACAGAGAAACCAGTAGCAAATACAAACTTTGTGTCTATGGAGCTAGGAAGGTTTGGGATGCTGATAATTTTATGAGGGATACACATACTATTATAACATGCTGGATGTATGTTATTATGTAGGGCCCATGGGTTAATTCTGCTATTTCTTTGACATAAGCCTTTCATATTCTCTCTAACTGCTGCTGTTTTGTTTTTCTTTTTTTGGGTGCAATTCCTGCTGAGGATGAGCCCTCTAGATCAATTCTCTCTGTCTTCCACTGTGTGTAAAACTGACCTATAATACATTATCAGTTGACAGAGGGTAACAGTGACTATGGGATTGATAGCAGAGATGGGAACCATGTTTATTTGGACATTAAGGCCTTTATAGATTGCTTCTGAAATACATTATTTCTGGAATCATGTGAAACCCAAAAGCACATGGCTCTCTAATGAATCATGCCTAAGGGACTCTCTAGAGTCAGAAGTTCTCAGACCTTTGTGAACTTGACTGATCCCACAGTAATTTTTTCTCTGTATTTAATACTGGTCCAAAGACATTTATGCTTGACAGGTATTTGACTTACATTTCACTCTCCTACAGGATGTAATTTGCTCAGGTTAAAAATAAACAAAACCCTATCCAGATGCTTCAAATTTATGTGGCTTTCTGATACTTCAATTGTATTTCTTCTAGCTTATGGCTCCCTAAAAACTATACAGCATATCTAGATGTGCTTATTTCTGTTATTCCTGAGCATCTCCTACAAAACCAGTCAGACTTACCGCTTCAGTTTTTCTATGCATGTGGTATCATGCACACATGATTTTGAACTGATAAGGGTGATATAAGCAGGAAATCTCAGACAGCAGGATACACAGATTTTGGTAGCATTACTTATCGCCTCATTAAAGGAACTTTTTTTTTTTTTTTTTTTTTTTTTTTTTTTTTGGTAAAGGGTTATTTACTTACTACAACATTAAAATACCTTCTGTGTTTACCTTCACATAAAAGAAAGTAGAAGTGGGTCAGTGTGTTTGCCCGTGTTGCCCTCTACTCACAAATGCATCAGCAATTTGCCTTTGCTCAGCAATAAGGGACTGGGTATATTAAGAGAGTAAACCAGACAACCATTTGAAGTCACATATTTTTTTGTTTAAAAAATAAAATAAAATCCTATTGAACAATGACATTTTCAAAGTACTTTCAAAATAAAGATGTCAGTGTTATAAGTGTTATACTTTAATTTCAACTATTTAATAATGGAATTTTAACTCCTAAATCAAGCTTCATTGTCACAATTTTTCTTTCGTGTATAGGAATTCACTCTGCACAGTACTTTGTATGCAGCTAATTTTATTATTAACCTCACAGCAGAAGTTTCAGCAAATTTCAGCACTTAGCAGAAATAGCACTTTCAGCATAGAAGACCTTTGTGATCTTGGTTCTCTGCTTAGTTCAGAAGTAGTGCCACTTGATCTTTTCCCCTCATTTTTCTGTTTCTTTTATCTCATGTTTTTTCTTGATACATCAATGCTACTTGTGCTGAGGTAGATAATTCAGACATGTAAAGGCAATTGAAAAATATAAAACCACAATCATGCTCAATTTCAGTGCAAAACAACTGACAACAATATCTTTGGCTAAATAAGCTCAACAGCAAGCAGGTTACTTAAGCTGAAGTTGCTATTATATAGCATACCTGGTAATGCATTAATATATGCATGATGTAATCATATATTTCTCCAGCAAGTCGGTTTTCTGGTCTCCAGGGTATAATAACAAACTGAATTCCTAGTAAGGGAACCAGGATTAACGTGGCTCTGACAGCTTTCATATACATGTTGGACTCAGCACGGTGGGTATCTCTTAGCTTTGTCACCAAAACTCGGACAATGTTAAGCAAAAAGAAAAAATTGACCTGTAAAGCAAAGCCATTATAGGTAAAAGCAACCAAATTAAACAGGCATTCAAACCAAAACCACAGAACACATAAATGGCTTTAAAATGCAGTTTCCTAGCTTTCCTAGCTGACTCCCCTTTGGAGTCAGACCTTGGAGAGTACCTTGAACACCTTCAGAAAGCAGACATTAAGCTGCTATATGTGCTTGCCTGAGGAACCTGAATGGATGTTTGAGATAGGCAGGGATCAGTTCTGAGTGTTTTGACACTGACGTAGTCAAACTGAAGATCTCCAAGGAACAAAACATCTCATAGTTTAAGCACAGCGGATGAATTATTTCCAGGGAAATGGCTGCTCTGAAGGTCACCAAGGTGTCATGCTTTGTGCTGCAGCCAGGTGAGAAACTCACAGGTGTCCCTGGGCGTACAGAGCCTACAGGGTACACACATTCTCTGAGGGACCTGCTCTGGCTCACATGTGCTGTCACTTCAGGATTGTGTGAGCAAAGGGCCCTGAGAAAACCTAGGCTCAACTCTGCCTCCATGGGACTGCAGTGGTCCTATATACGCTGCCCATAGGTAACAAAACAAGCTGGAACAGGGCAGAAAGGCCAAAGAGTTGAAGGGCCAAAGCCCTTCCAAAAATCCACGTATCTGAGTTCCAGAGTCATTTCTAAAAACCTGACTCCAGCCATGGGTTCTCAGCACAGGGCCACATTGCCCTGCCTTCACAGAGCTCCTGGCAGGATACGCCTGGAAGCACATGGGCAGATAATGAGCCCTGAGGACATCATAGGCATCACAGGTTTCCTTTCTCCCCAGTATGTAACCAGGCTGCCTTTCCTACTCCTTTACAGTACCAGCAGGCACCTGTGCTTATGAACTTCAACAGACTTCTATAGCAACCATTTTTTAAAATAAGCATCCTCTTATTACATAACTAGAATAGGTATTTTAATAGTCCCAAATCCATGCATATGTGAGAAATCTCACTTGGATCTTTTAAAACAATAAACCAAGAATCAGTAAGCTTTCACAAAGCACTTTGTAACTTCTTAGCTACTGAGAGACCTTTCAGCTGTTTTACATTCATGTTCTACTGGAAGAAAAAAAAAAAAAAAAAAAAGGAATAATAAATGACTTCTGAGATCCCATTTAGCATTAAATCTAAATCTTATTCTCCATCCTCCTCTGACTTCACTCCCTCTACTTAACCTTCACTTTTAGAACTTTTTGAAGGTACTGTGGAAGGTGAAAAAAAGACTCAGCAAAGGTAAAAACCCTCAGCTCCTCCTAGTCTGCCTGAGTCATAGTCTACCACTATGAGATTTCTGTAGCAAATCATGAAGGACATTGTATAAACAGTGACAACTTCAAGAGAAAACTAAAACAGGAAGCAGCATAAGAACGAGACAGAAAATATAACACCTTATTTTAAAAACAGTTACAAATTGCTCTGCTTCCATAAAACCAGCCTCTCCTCTTTTCTTTGCAGCTAAAATGTGCAGACCTGGGGCTTAGTGATCAAAATAAAGGCTGACTGGTCTCTCCTAGAAGCTGGCTTTATGACAGCAGCAGTCAAGATCAAGCCAATAAACCCGCAGCAGATGTGATCCTGCAGGTATGGCAGGCTGAACATGGCAGGGACAAACTGGCTTCTCTGTATTTCTGATAGGCAAAGCTACTTCTCAAGAAGGGGCAGAAAGACCTGTTTTTTTTTTTTTTTTTTTTTTTTTTTTTTTTTTTTTTTTTTTTTTTTTTTTTTAGTTAGTAGACAGAGGGTTGTTTCTTTATTCAGAGGTATTCTCAGCATTGCCCATCATACTCTTTGATCTACTAGGCCATTTCTGCAGGTATATCCATGCAGAAGTCAATATCAAACAGAACGAAAGCGCATCTTGGATGGCACACTGAGATGTGTTTGAGACTTGGGCTGAATAAAACTCAGTTACATATTCAGTTGGCTTCAAAATCTGATTATATTTCAGGTGGTTCCTTGGATGATTTATGAAAAGTATTGAGAGCCTTTCTTTAAAAGAGAAAATCACAAATTGCTTTCAAATTTTCATCAGAAGACTTGAAGTACAGAAATTTATATTCTCTACACATTAACAGCATTTCTAAAATAATTATTGAATGGTTGATAGCAAATATTCTTACCAATAAAGCTGCCATTACAGGTCCATGAACAATATAAAGCAAGTGAGTGTCAACACTCATCCAGCAGCTGGAGGAGAAATATACCACATAATTTATTATTTACTCAAAATGTGTAACACAATTAAATAGTGCTATATTCCTTCAAAAAAAGACATGCTACTCACTTGTCATTGAAGTATTTGGCTCTTGCAACTGCATGAATTGAAGCTGGCACTAAAGGAAACCCTGAAATGATTAAAGGAATAGGTCAGCCTTGGTGTTTTTGGCTTGAACATCATTGATCATAAAAAAAAAAAAAAAAAAAAAAAAAAAAGTGAAGCTTTCTCCCAGCACCTTAAGGGAAGCCACTGCTCTGACAGGTAGCAGAATTGAGCAAATGTGTACTGAACCAGGGGAAACATGCCATTCTTAACATATCTCAGTTGTGTATATCCTGATTTCAAGTGGCAATCTGCCCCCCCCCCTCCTGTCTATCTTCCTTCATTTTCTGTGTATGTAGTCTCCCTTTCCAACAAGCTAGAAACCTGCGAGCCTGTGCTTCAACACTGACCCCACCTTGTACAGCCTTGCACATACAGACAGCTGGGGATCATCTACTACTGTCTGTCCTTTGCAGAGAGCTGTGTACATCTTGGACACAAACACTTTTAGAAGAGGCATAGAATACTCAGACTAATTCTTGAGTGCTCTTGCCACAGAACACAGGTCAGCCAATGCTGGAGTGAGATTATGGTAAAAAAAAAAAGTAAAAAAAAAGTGTGTAAATAGGACACTGCACTCTCCAGGCATCTCTAAGCAACAGCTACTTGCTTTACTGCTAAAATAAGTTCTTATGGCAGTTTAACTTCAGAGAACAATGCAGCTGTGGGAGAATAAAATGATGGACTGTCTTCTCTTTCACACTGTTAGAAAATGATTTCTTTGCTTCTTGCTGCAGAATGGTTTTTTAGAAAAATAAAAATATCTGAACAGAAAGAAAAGAGCTTCCGTTCTCAGGGTGACACTATGGGACTAGCAGCTCCAGAAAGTCCTTTTGTTTTGGAAATGGAGCAAGTTTGATCCAGTTTTGTTGAAAGAGTATGTAGATTAAAATGCATTTTTAAGGGACGGCTCTTTAACAGTAAAAAGCATTGCAAGTAGATTGCTCCACATTGATGCCTTGGGACCTTTTTCTTCTGCTAAATGCATTAACCTAAAATATTTGGCTCAACAAATTCTCATGCAAATCTGAAGAACACAACGGAAAGTTTTCATTAATAAGGTAAGAAACTCTTGACCATCTACGGCTCAGATTTCCAGCCGCAAGCTGGTCCATGCAGCTAGATGTTGCTCTTGCCTTGGAAAAGGCCAGTAGCAGTGAGAAGGGGAACACCAAGAAGGCCTATCATGACCTCACTGTTTCACTCCAGAGGTCCCATATATGTGTTACGAGAGCTGAGCAATTCAGAAAAGGTCCTACTCCAGCCACCCCAAGAGAAGGTATGCCATACCCCTGAAGGTCATGCCAGGTCCTCTTTGAAAAAAATCTGGCAATCATGCTTAATTGCATTTCCAGTTGGCTACAGCACTGCCCACATAAGTGATTCCCTTTTCAATTTTATGTGGATGAAGCAGCCTGAAGCAGCCTGATGGAACAGAACGCAGTTGGATGCACCCACCTGATGCTATTATCATGCCCTGCATAAAGGTGATTTTCTGACCCACTGAAACAATAGCACATGAAAAAGGACATTCTCAGCAGCAGGTGCCAAAGAAGGTGTCACCTGAGGGCATCCATCTTCAAATACATCCACCTGCGTCAGATTCCATTCAGTCATCTGCAAACATTTTATGGAAGTGTTTTTGTATTTGCTCAGATTTTTATTTTTTTAGACTAAGTTATTTTAAAAACATCAATAAAGATTTTTCCAAATAAAATAATCTAGATTGTTTTGAGTAGGGATTAGTTATAACAAGGAATAATCACAGAATCACACAGAATCACCCAGGTTGGAAGGGACCTCAAGGATCACGTAGTTCCAACCCCCCTGCCTAGCAGGGCCACCAAACACACACATTCAGATCAGGTTGCCCAGGACCCCGTCCAACCTGGCCTTGAACACGTCCAAGGACGGGGCATCCACAACCTCCCTGGGCAGCCCGTTCCAGGGCCTAACCACTCTCCTTTTAAAGAATAATGAGTATATTCATCTTGTGTTGTACATTTACCTTGATTTTTTGAATTGTAATTCAGAGCATGAACTGCTGTTGCTCTGCACTGTCCTTTGGGGAAACATCTCTCTCTTCATTGATTAACGCAGCTGGACATTTGAAGACAGACCGTGTGAGTACTGATTTTGGAAGCAGTGGAATTATACTGATTTATGCAAACTTTAGGGGTAGCCAGGTTGTCCTAATTATTAGCAATAGGATCTAATGACTTCTACTTCAGTTAGAAGGTGCAAATGACTACTTAGTGCGGTAGTATCCATGTAGTTTCATTACTAAGGATGCAGATTTCACAGAGTTGTGTTGCTTTCTATTAACCTTTTCTCTCTCAGTATATCATCGCACCATTCCCACAGATGTTGCTTATTTCTGGGACAGTGCTGCAGATACTGATGAACATCCTTTCAGTTATCTTCACTGAATTACCCATCAAGATACCTTCAACCATATTTCAATGCCCTCAACCATATCTCAGCTAGCTCATAAGCTTTCACACCAAGCCAGCTGTCCCAGTTACACAAGATGCATTACCTAAAGTGAACAACACTTAGAAAAATATGTTAATGCCCACTTTTCTCCTGCATAATGTGATACAGAATGATAGTACTTCAGGAAGTCTTACACTACACGAAGACAGCAAACGTTTGAACTGGAAGGAAGGGTATAAAATTACTCTTCATACAGGGCTTCCATTTTCAAAAGCAAAGGGCTACCAAACTTTGTACATTCAAATATTCTGAACTATGAAAACTGTGATAGCAGCTATTTGAAAGCAAATAACTGCCCCAAAACAAAACAACAACAAAACAACCAACAAAACAACTTTCTGCTTTGCTGTTATAATCCTTTAGCATCTGCTACCGGATGTCCAACTAGCAGTTGGAGTCAGGGTTTTAAAGTTCTGAACAGAACATTCAGGTTCATTTTTCTCCCATGTAACCAATTCCCATTTTTTCCTCTGCTAAAACAGGAGGCTGTTTTTCACTTTCCTACTGTAAATGAAATAATGAAAAATGAAATGATGTTGATCAGGCATTACATTTGCAAGAAGGATGAAAAAAGCGAGTACATTCCTTATGCTTCAGTCGGGGATTGTAAGAAAACCATAACACAGGGAGATGATGAACAAAGTTCTGTCATTTACTGCTTAGTGCACCAGTGGGTTTTGAAATACAAGGCCTGGCTCACCAGAAATTGGAATGAGGCCAGAAATTCACAGCTCCCAAGCTGGAAAAAAGCTATTGCTAATGATTTTCTGTCAATGCTGATTCGGACTGAATTTACAGTAGAGATTTAAATGTGAAAGAAATGGTACTTCACTCCAATATATTGGTTGTATTCACGTGGCCTTTCATTGAACCAGGATGCACAAAGAATAAATACCTGTTGTTGCTAATAATTAAATGGCAACAACTCCCTCAGTGAAAACAGAAGTGATTTGCATATTTGGCTCTGAAGGAGGAGACTTACACATGACTTCTTGGTCAATACACATGCTACTAGAGAGGCTTTGTATAGCATTTGTAACCTCTCCCATAGTATATCACTGAGATTTGCTAATTGACACCTGAAATGCCTTAGAGATCACTGCTGTTAGACAAAATAAGAACAGAGACTACTTCTGTTATCTACTCCTCTGTAAAATGGTATCTTCTCCCTTAAAGTAACATCTGCCAAAGTATACCCAATATTGGATTCAGTTTCAGAAAAGCTCTGGTTTTTCTTTGCATGTGCTGCATTTTTACAAATTGGTAGACACAGATAATGATTTTCCTCCTCATTCCAGAGTAAATATGCTTTTATATAAGATCAATACTTTTGCATGCAAAGTGACAAAACTAAACATGTTCTGTTCAGAAGAGAGATGCACTTGGATAACAGTCTATTTCACTCTCAAAGCTTTGCTTAACAAAGTTTAAACATTTCTTTCAGCAAATCCCAAGGTGCAGCAAGTAACAGATGACAGCTGTTGACATTTTTGTGACTCTCTAGACTCAAACAAATACACTCAAATTTAGGACCTAAGAACTCAGTCCTAGGCTATGACTTAGTAGCATGAATACAATGCAAATATCTGAACCAACTACACCAACTTCCACCAACTACATGTGCTACAAAGCACACCATACATACCCCAGCCCAAGAGGTAGTACCAGTGCAAGCGCTGCTCCTCTGCAAAGACAGCCACCACAATCAGCGTATGCAGGTAAATGCCTTCACACAGCATCCAGAAGTAGTTGCAGCCCAGCATGTACTGGTGAAAGAACTGCAGCACTTTGCAGCTTACCTGCCAGGCAAATGAGATAATGTCACACACCTGACTAGCATTCTACATCTAAGCAGGCAAAGGTAAATTATAATTATATGCTATGGGAAAGCAAAGTGAAACAGATGCCCAGATCTTGCTGGGTTTGTTTGGCACATATCAGTGACAGGGATTTTAAACTTTATAAATGAGATGAATAAAACAAAAAGCTTTCATAAAAGAGTAAAAAATTGTATTATAACAGCACTCCAGAAAGTACTCTGCAAAAAAAATTCCCTTCAAAATCCTTAGTTCCATGCTTTTTAGAACTGCACTTGTTTCTTAGAACAAGCAGCCTGTTCTAGAAGAAGGCTGTGAGAAAGACATAACTTAGAGCTCTAGTTTGGTGATTTCTTTCACTTTACTCAGAATTTTCAAAGACTTTCTCAGCTCTTCTGTGAGTCAGTCACTCCTCTAAAAGCAACACCCAGTTCTTAACTCCCTCCTTTGAGAACAACTGCTTGCAGGCAGTGGAGATGAAAAGACATGGAGAAAAGTGAGGCTGTGAAGCTGGACAGTGGTTCTTGCCTGCAGCTCAGATGGGAAACTGAGACTTCAAGCTGCGTGGTGAGCAGATGGTGGAGAGAAACACATTGTGTCCATTCACCAGGTGGTGTGGGAGGAGACCACCGCTCCTTTGAGAGGCTCTGATGTCCATCCGCTTCCACCATGTCCCAGTACCCAGGAGGCCTATGGAGCAGGTGGGTGATGCAGGGATCTTTTCAGGGAGCACCAGTGGCTACATGGACATCTGAGGTGCCCTCCATGATGGCAAAATGCCAGTTGCCACCTTATCCACAAGAAAATACTCCTTCTTCTTCACTTCTCCAGATGGTTTCCAAGCTAAATTACCTGGACTAGAGGCAGTGTTTTTGCTAGGACTGACTTGTCAACCATTCAGCAGAGGACTGTGTGCCCCGTGTCTGTCTGGAGGACTCACAGTGCCCCTCTGGGACAGAAAAGCAGGTTCAATAGTGATTCTGTTGAACAGAGCAATTCACAGAACATGGGCATTTAGCTCTGTTTCAATGTTTGCAATGCAGCTTGTTGCTCTGAAAATAGAAGATCATTGACAGTGCAGCTAAAAGAATTCAGATAGGATGAATGTGAAGGACTGTTGTTTTTGTTTTTTTTTCATTTCATTTCTTCTGCTTGCCACACAGAGCAAAGCAGTCACATAGTTTTTCCACACTGTGTCTGAACAGTTCCTACAAAGTATGCTGAGAAAGGATAAAGAAAAAGAAAAAAGAAAAGAAGAAGGATTTGCTGTTTTCAGTGAACTTTTTGAGTGAGGGAGTAACTAACTACATGAACAAAGCCAGCCCTTCTGCAACTTTTATCTGTAGCTCAGTACTTGAAATACAGAAAGCATACTGCCTGAAGACGAACCATCTTTGTTTCCTGAAGAACAATACACCTAAACTTAATTTGCTTCATTTCCTCAGTATTTCCTTCTTTCCTGTGCTCTCCACATGAACTGTCACTCGTGGCTTTAAAAATAAAATTAAGCACCTATGTTTTAGAGTAATGGCTATGCAGACAGCTCATGACTCTTTTGAGTAATGTAATCACTTGCTATGTAGTAAGTTATAGACTGCCATTGGCAAGACATGAAGGATGCGTGTGATTAGTACTTGGATCCACATCACATTAATTTAAGAACTAATCTGAAAAAGTTATCGTGAACAGTTTAAGCACAACAATGCACTGCAAAGAATTATGCTGAATTCCTATCAATCAAACTACAGTGAAAATCAATCTTCACCTTGGATGAGCTAAAAAAATTGCAGCAGGCTTCAGCTGTGGTTGAGTGCTGCCATGGAAATAAAGTGAGTGTTTTTCTTAGATCAGAGCAACCTGTTGCTGATGAGAACTGGAGTCATGTGCAGTGTGAATAAAACATGGCAAATGTAGCCATACATCTCAGTGTACGTCAGCCTTAGCTGGGAAAACTGCAGGACTCTGAAGTTTTGTGAAGAGCTTATCCTTATAGAAACAAGTAAAATGAAATTGCAAGATAATACAGGAGCAAATCTTTGATCACTTCCATGCTTGATAACTTGGAGATTTAAAAAAAAAAAAAGGTTAGATGTTTTGTCTTCAGTTGAACTTACTTAAATACATTTTGATGCAAGCTCTTTCTGTCTATGTATCTCATACAATATGCAGTATGGTCAAATCCGGGATTCAAAGGATTATCACAGCACTAATACTGCTGCTACTAGCACTAGAACTCATGATAGAGAGTAAAATGTCATCAGCTCTTGGTCTGTGGATGTGCACTTAAGCTGCAGGGGAAAAAAGGAGCCAAATAATAGAACATGGTCAGGCAAGAACAGCTCCTACCTAGCAAATCTTGCAAAGAGTTTTGTAAATCATGTAAACACCTCAGCTGCTGTATGAAATGAAAAGTTTCAAAAGGATGCTGGAATCACTTTGTGGAGAAGAAAGAAAACAATCAATCTCCTTTCAGGAGCAGGCCTTTGTGATTTTTTTCAGGATTTATTGGTGCACTATAAATACTGCTAACATTCCAGGCCTATTAGGAGGGTCCCAAAGTTCCACCTGTCTATGCAGGATTGTGCAATTGCATGGCCATGCTGCTGGCATGCTGCTCTCCTTGACTAGGGCACAGCCCCTCCTCACATGTTGCAGACTCATGCAGTGTCTCGAGTTGGAAGGGATCCATTAGAATCACTGAGTCCAACTCCTGGCTCCACACAGGACCACCCAAAAATCAGAGCATATGACTGAGAGCACTGTCCAAATGCTTATTGAACTGTGGCAGCCTGGGGCCATGACTACTGCCCTGGAGAGCCTGTTCCAGTGCTTGACCACCCATTGGTGCAGAACCTTTTCCCAATCCCCAGCCTGATCTTCCCTGCTTTTCCCTTTTATTTTGTCTCTTTTATTGTGGCACCAAAACTGTACACAGTACTCAAGGTCCTTACATGCCATTTCCCTGCTAAACTCTCCCTTATTGTCTGATAGGGAGAAAGCATCAGCAATAATGCAGAATTAAATAAAAACCAGAATACTGCCTTCATCAAAGTAACAAAACATAACATCCACTCCTAATTGATTTTGAGCAGGTCTTTCTAGTAATTCAGTCAGAATAAGCCTGGGTTTTAGCAGAGGGAGGGCAACTCGCCCAGTTCCCTGTGTCTGTGTTCCCATGATGCTTCCCTGACTGAAGGGCACAGGCTGGAACTGGGAGCCCTGGTTTTCACAGCCTACCTTGCCAGCTCCACAGCGCCTGGCCCATCACCACTGGGGCAGGATGCCTGGCAGTGTGCAAAGTGAAACCTCTCCTCAATTGTTCTCCATGCACTGAAGTGCCCCAGGCTGACATTTGCAAGAAATAAATAGCTAAGAATAGGCCAAACAAGGTTATTAGTTTTTGGCCAAGCCACCTACATGGGACATTATTATAGCTGTACATTTCTCTGTTTAAAGGGAAATAAGAGTGTTTGCCCTCACTGAAGATCAGACAGAGTGGGCTCTCTTCACGTCTGCAGAACCCCCCTGTGCACACAGCTCTTCTCAAGAAGAGGTTGTGCTGCTCCCCACAAAGACCAGACAGGATTTATTCCAACTCAGTTTGAAGGCAATAAAATGCATTCTCAGACATTCTTAGCATGTTTAAGGAGTAACTTGAAGTTTGGTTATTGACCTGCCTTATGCATTTTTTTTCTGGTTATTAGAATGCTTTTCTATGAAAATATTCTTAAATTCCCAGTATCCATATGTTACACAAATAAGCAATAAAAGGACTTTCCAAAGCAGGACAGTGCTAAGCATTGTAGCTGTAAATCATGGACTATTAGAACGTCATACCATTATACAATATATCTACTGTGAGTCACCCATTAAACTGTGTTCCAGTCAGAAAGCTGGCATGCAGGGACTCAGGCTAAGATTAATGTTTTAATATACTTTTAAACCATTTGCAGAACAAAATGTACACAGTTGCTTAGAGGGTTCCTAGGTTTTGTGTTACGAGAATGCAAAATATGAAATTAAGCATCGAGGGATATTTTTAACAACATCCCTACCCATGCCTACATTGTGAGAAGAAGCCAGCCTGGAATTAGGCATCATGGGCAGTGATTTACACAGCCACATCCATACACCCCAACCTCCCAGCTGCAGTCACTGTCCTGGGGCTGCAGCCTAGAACCCAGCAGGATAGGGCTGGAGTCCTACGAGGTCCATGTGGTGAACCCAGCATTGCAGTAAGCAGGGAGCAAGGCAGGGCAAGGTACAGTTTCCTTGTGCTTAACTTGTTTCCTCAGCTGAGGCAAATCTCTAGTGGATCCATACACCTTGCACACACAGCCAGCAAGTGCTTTGCTATGACAATCTCCTGTGAAAGCCCTAATGGAAACCCCTGGCTTCTGGTGGTCACTGTGGCCAGGTAGGAGGACTTCTGGGTTAGATTGTATCAGCAAGGTGTATTATTGAACAGCAAGATTTCCCATCTGGATGCTAGCTGGTCCCATGAGCTTAAGGAGCTGCTAAACACACTGTATATTAAGAAGGTTGTCCAAGGAAACAAAATCAGGAAATCTGAAGAAAGATGTTAAATGGGACTGGAGATGCAGAGGTTTTTTTGATTTTGGTATCAGCTGTTCTGGGTGCTCACTTCTCACTGCCACAGTGGCAGGACCTGCAGGGTCCACAGACAGTGGAGGTATGTAAAAATGTAGAAGCATGACAGACTTTTCACAAGGACAGCTGAATCTGCAGTTTGGTCTCCATCCATGCTGAGACTGTAGGTCTTCCTGGCCTTTCTTGCAGAAAAGATGCAAGCCTCAAACCTAAGAACAAACCCCAGGGTCTGAGGCCTTCAGCTGCAGGACCATGATGCATTTTGCAGTACAAGATCCTTTCTGAAGGAAACAACACTCTTCTCCCAAATAAGAGGTCACATGTTGGGAAAACACTGCAGAAATAATATCTGAAGAATCTATGGAGCCTGG